CTCTGTCTCTCTCTGTCTCTCTCTGTCTCTCTCTGTCTCTCTCTGTCATCTCGTCGAGTCCAGAACTCTGAAGTGCAGATCCTGAACTAAAGACAGAGAACGCTGGAGAAGCTCAGCAGGTCCTGGCAGTGTCTGTGGAGAGAGAAACAGAGTTAATGTTTCAAAGTGGAGTAGTTTGCACTCATTCTGGTATCAATTCAGTCAACCTCCTCTGAGCCACCTCCAATGTATTCAAAACATCCCTTAAAAGAAGAGAACGAAAGGCACACAGTGTTTGAAATGTGGTCTCACCGTTTGCCCTGAATAACTGCACTGTGACATCCTTAGATTCTGTTTAGCTCCTCGTGCAGTAAATGATAGCGTACTAATAGTCTTATTTTTAATCACATGCTGTACCTGCAAGTTGTTGGAGACTCGTGCATTAGAATCCTAGATCCCATGACAGTTTGGAATTCTGCAGGTGCCCTCTGTTTACATCAAACTCTACTTTTTAGTTCTTCCTGTCAATGTAAACAACTTAACTCGTCAGGAGTGTTGCTGGACTCGATGTTAACTCTTGTGCCGCCAAACCTGCTGAGTTTCACCAGAAGTTTGTTTTTGTTTCAGACTTAGAGCATCTGTGGTTCTAAGATCATAGCAGGTCAGCCAGCATCCATGGAGACAGAGCAACCTAATATTTCAAGTCGACATGATTTCACGTCTGCTTTGATGAAGAGTCATTTTGACTCGAAATGTTAGCTTGCTGTCTCACTATGGATGCTGACTTGCTGTGATCTCCAGCATTTGTTTTCAGTACAGATTTCAGAATCTGCAGTAATTTGCTTTATTTAACTTATCTCCTCTCTCTCCCACTTGCACTTCCTCTCCAAGACTAACTCTCTGTTACACTTAGAACATAAAACATAGAACTGTACAGCACAGTAACAGGCCCTTTGGCCCATGATGTTGTGTCGAACATGATGCCAAATGAAATTAATTCCTTCTGCCTGCTCTTGGTCCATATCCCTCCATTCCTTACATATTCATGTGCTTATCTAAAAATCCCTTTAATACTGTTTTTGTATCTGCCTCCGCACCACCCCTGGCAGCACGTTCCAGACTCCTTCTCCTCTGTGTTTTAAAACAAAAACCTTGCCTCCACAACTGCTTTGAACTTTTCCCCTTTAACCTTAAATGCATGCTTCCCTTGTGTTAGACATTTCAACTCCGGCGGGGGTAAAGATTCAGACTGTCATTCGTGTCTGTGCATCTCATAATTTTATAGATTTCTATCGAGTCTCCCCTCAGCTTGTGCCGCTCCAGAGAAAACAACCCGAGTATTTCTAGCCTCTGCCTATATCTCATACCCTCTAATCCAGGCAGCATCCTGGTAAACCTCTTCTGCACCCTCTCCAAAGCCTCCATATCCTTCCTGTAATGTAGTGACCAGACTTGAATGCAATACCCTTTAAGTGTGGCTTAAACAAAGTCTTATAAAGCTGCAACGTGACATCCTGACTCTTGTACTCAGTTCCCCAACCAATAAAGGCAAGCACGCCATACGCTTTCTTTACCATCCTATCTACTTGCATGGCCACTTTCAGTCTGTTAACTCTCAAGTCGTCATTTCTTAAATCTCCCTGTTTGGCAGTGATTCAGTTAATTCTGCAGTCAGGCACGAGGAGATGCTAGAGTAGAGTCCAGCCCTAATGCCTTGTGGTTTGCCCTGGCAGGATTTTGACAAAATGGCAGATTACTTCAAGTCCCATTACCAGGTGGAACTGCAGGAGAAGGAGATGTGTGTGAAGGGCTGGAACTGGGGGACAGCTCGATTTAATGGTGAGTGAGTCATCCTTTGTGTCTGACAGTCTTGAATTAGTCCTGAGGGAGGGTTGGCGCTGAGGGAGCGCCGCACTGTCGGAGAGTCACTGCTAAGGGAGTGTCGGTGCTGAGGGAGCATCACACAGGGCTGACAGAGGACCACACAATCTGGGAATTATTGAAAGCTGGTTTATAGGTATCAGAAATAAAATTTCAAAGCTTTTCTTCACATCAAATACCCAAACCTCAGTGAAGGCTCAGCTTGTATCTGCTTGAAAGTTGCTTGTTGACATCAGCTTCTTCTTAGCACCTTTTTACAGTCACACTTCAGTTCACATCTTGTCCTGAGAACTACACACAAAGTGCTAACACTGTACATATCATTTAATGTGGGTTATAGAGTCACCCATCATGGAAACTGACCCTTCAATCCAACTCGTCCATGCCAACCAGCTTTCCCAAGTTAAACTAGTCCCATTTGCCTGCTTTTGGCCCATATCCCTCTAAATCTTTCCTATTCATGTACCTGTCCAAATTTTTAAAAAATGTTTTGACTGTACCTACCTCTACCGTTTCCTCTGACAGTTCATTCCACGTTCGTACCACCCTCTGTGTGAAAAAGTCACCTCTCAGATCCCTTCTAAGGCTTTCCACTCTCACCTTAAAAATATACCCTCATAGTTTTGGACTCCCCTATCCTCGGGAATTGCTATTCACCCTATCCATGCCCCCTCAGGATTTTATAGACCTCTGTAAGGTCACCCCTCAGCATGCTACACTCCAGGGGAAAAAGGTCCCAGCCTATTCAGCCTCTCCCTATAGCTCAAATCCTCCATTCCCAGTAACATCCTTGTAAATCTTTTCTGCACCCTCCCCAGTTTAATAATATCCTTGCAGTAGTAGGTGCCCAGGACTGTACAGAGTGGCAGACCTACGGCCTGTATAACTGCAACATGACGTCCCAGCTCCTATACTTGATGCTGTGACCAATAAAGGTAAGTGTGCCAGACGCTGCCTTCACCACCCAATCCTCTTTCAAGGAGCTATGTACCTGAACCTTAACTTTGCATCTTTGGCAGCTTTCTCCTTCTGGAGTTTAGTTTGAAGCACCTTGGGTCAATTTCCCATCCATGGCTGCTCCAGAGATGACAATTTACTGCACTTCTGCTATTACGGACCCTTTCTCCCTGAAACCTGCACACCTCCTGAGTGGTTCTGACTTTCTCTGATAGTGAGTTTCTGTCGCTGGGCAGCTGTAGTTCATTTTCTAGATCTATTCACCACGGGGGGTTTAAAGAGCATAGTTAAATGCATGTTTTTTTCAAAGAAAAGGCAGACATCAACACTCAGTGAAGAAGCAAAATGTTGCTAAGACCTGGTTTCGCCCTTTGTAACACAGAAAACGTGGAGAAACACACACATTCCTCCTCTTTTTCAGGGCTCACGCAGTAATGAATACGTTGTGAACCATCCTCGCAATCTGTTGCCAATGGGTTTCCTCACCGTTCTTTCTCCCTGCGTGCTGTTTCCACAGGACAGTTACTTTCATTTGACATTGGTGAGCAGTCAGCCTTCGAAATCCCCCTGTCCAACGTCTCTCAGTGCACCACAGGCAAGAACGAGGTGACCCTGGAGTTTCACCAGAACGATGATGCCGAGGTTTCCTTGATGGAAGTCCGATTCTACGTCCCACCTTCCCAGGAGGACGGCATGGATCCAGTGGAGGTACGAGAGGCCAGTCAATCCATGGATTCCCATCCCTCGTGACCCCTGACCCTATCCCAACCATCCTCCCATCGAAGACCCTCCCTCTACTACTCCAGTGTTTGCATTAACGTTATCATTGCTGGTTAATTCAAGCTGCACTGTCTTTGGGGAATTCCCTGATCTTTGTGACACACCTCCTCTTTTTCCAGGCTTTCTCCCAGAACGTCCTTTCGAAGGCCGACATTATCCAGGCCACCGGAGACGCCCTCTGCATCTTCCGAGAGTTGCAGTGCCTCACGCCAAGGGGCCGCTACGATATTCGCATCTATCCAGCATTCCTGCATCTCCACGGCAAAACGTTTGACTACAAAATCCCATACACCACTGTACTCCGCCTCTTCCTTCTGCCCCACAAGGACCACCGGCAGATGTTCTTCGTGGTAAGGACAGCACAGGGTTAGATACAGAGTAAAACTTCCTGTACAATGTCCCCCATCAAACACTCCCAGGGATAGGGACAGCACGGGGTTAGATACAGAGTAAAGCTCTCTTGACACTGTCCTCCATGAAACCCTCCCAGGACAGGGACAGCACAGGGTTAGGCTTGAAGCTGATTGGTTGCCTTTTCTTACAGATCAGTTTGGATCCTCCAATCAAACAGGGGCAGACCCGGTACCACTTCCTCATCTTGCTGTTCTCGAAGGACGACGATCTGACCCTGACCCTAAACATGAGCGAGTGAGTGTGAGAAAGGCTGACGGAGGACAGCGAGCATCTGCCAGGGGAAGGGTGGGGAGTTGGGCATGGCGAGAGCGAACTGGTGACGCTTGTGGGTGGCTGAGGTTAGTGTGTGGGCCGGAGAAATGGAGGGAGTGTTCTTGAGAGTGATGGAAAACTGATGTGTCCGGGAGGAGTTGGGAAGAGGGAGAGTTCGCAATGCGGTTTGTTAAAATCTGCTTGGGAAAATGTGCCCCGTTGCCAATAAACCTGGGATTGTCACAGAAGTTAAAGGTTTAATGAAATTGCTCACTATCCCCAGTATACCTGGCTGGCAAACCCAGGTGAACAGAGAACACTTCTGGCTTTTGCACTCACCAAGGAATTACTGTTTACTGCAAACAAACTAGTTCTAATGACATACAAACAAAACATAGCTTCTCAACTTAACAACTCTGTAACTTGAGCTCTACCCCTTAGTCAGATATGTAGACAAATGAAAACAACGTGGATGTTTTTGGTCGAGGGAAATACAAAGGTTAGGGAAACACTGTTCAATTGTGCCCAGTCCACAGGATTCAATTAGCTGTTTACTTACTGCTTCTGAATCCTTCTGATCATCTACCTTCCTCCTTTCTGAGTCTCCTTCAATTCTTTCCTGAAGACCCAGGACAGTTGGCAAACTAGAAGCAGAAGTAGGCCATTCAGCCCCTTGATCCTGCTCTGCCATGGAATACGATTATAGCTGATCTCATCTTGGCCTTGATCCATTTTGCTGCCCGCTTTCCATAACCCTTCAACTCGAAAAATCTGTCCTTCTCCTCCTTAAATCTACCCAGTGTCCCAGCATCCACCACACTGGGGAGGAGTGAATTGTACAGATTCACCACCCTCTGTGGGAAGAAATTCTTCCTTGTCTCTGTTTTAAATCTGCTACCCCTCATCTGAAAACTATGACCTCTATCCTCTGTATGTCTGCTTTGTCATTCCCCTTCAGCATCTTGTATACCTTAATTAGGTCGCCTCTCATTCTTGTAGGCTTAATTTGTTCAATCTCTCTTTGTAAGGCAGCCCCCTTGTCTCTGGAATCAGTGTAGTGAACCTCCAATGCACCTACAACCGCATCTGAAGTAAGGGGAGCAGAGCTGCGTACAGTACTCCAGGTGCAGTCTCACTAATGCTTTATACAGTCAGAACTACACTTCCCTGCTTTAAGCCTCTGTTGTCCTTTCACAATAAATGCCAGCATTTTGTTTGCCTTCCCTATTACCTGCTGTAATTCATGCGCAAGAACACCCAGGTCCCTCTGCACTGAAGCACTCTGAAGGCTCTTTCTATTTGGATAATAAGTTGCCTTTCTGTTCTTGCAACCAAAATGCATAAACCTCTCACTTACCCATGTTAAACTCCATCTGCCAAACTTTGGGTTATTCATCTCACTTACTCATATCCATTTGTAAAGCTGTATTTTTTCATTGGAATTTCCTGCCCCATCTATTTTAGTGTCATAGAGTCATACAGCTCAGAAACAGACCCTTCGGTCCAACCGCTCCATGCTGACCATAATCCCAAACTAAACAAGTCCCACCTGCCTGCTCCTGGTTCATATCCCTGCAGACTTTTCCTGTTCATGTACTTATCCAAATGTAACTGTACCCGCATCCACCACTTCCTCAGGAGATTCATTCCACTGGTGAGCTACCCTCTATTCGCGGGAGCCCATCACGCTTCACGCTGCCCGCTACCCGCCCGGGAGCCCATCACGCTGCCCGCTACCCGCCCGGGAGCCCATCACGCTGCCCGCTACCCGCCCGGGGGCCCATCGGAGAGTTGTACAGCACGGAAACAGACCCTTCGGTCCAACCTGTCCACACTGACCAACTATCCTAAATTACTCTAGTCCCATTTGCTAGCATTTCGCCCATACCCGTCTAAACCCTTCC